GAGGCCCGGATGAACTTGTTTTGTACATATTATTTAATCTCCTTTATTTCTTTCAATAAACGAACTGCTATCCCTGTGGCATTTTCCTCTCGTCTCGGTTACGTGGGATATTACTTGCGGGTACTAGTGTGGTCCAGTGCTTACTCCTCGTCCGTGACTGCCGATCCGTGATTCGTATTCTGTGATTCGTGTTTCATGTTCAGTGCGTACTACAATAACTATATATAGTACAATTGCTACACCAATACACTTCAGTGTCCAATGAAGCCGGTTTCCATTGGAATCAGGATATCCCAGAGATTTTGTAATCAGTGTTTCCCAGATCCATCACATGAACTACTTGGTCAACTCAATGTCCGAATATTAGTTTATCGCCCTCCCGCCAGATGCGCTAAGAGGTGCACTCCGTGAAAGTATTCTTTGGGAATGAGAACTAGGCCTTATTCACTCTCGGAGCGAGTGGGTCTTTTTCAATCGTAATGATCGGCAAGTCGAACGAGAATTCCACAACCAAGATATTCTTGACCTTCTTCCTAAACATGAGTATGCGGTCGTTGCGTGTTAAATCAAACGACCCATTCATTATGGATAGCATACACGTGAATTACGTAAACACAATTGGTAAGGTCAATTATTGACCGCTTCTCTAATGGTCCATGCCCGAGTATAATCAAAGCAGTGTTTAAAATTCAAGGATAATCCAAAATGAAGTCGAACAACAACGAGTTCGGTAGGATACGTACAAATTTGATGGTCCGACCGTGCACCGTGGAGACATATCCACTCACACACAACAAGCAATGGTGCATGAGAACGCCAGTGTGCAACTATGCAAATACAATCCACACATCTGACCTCTATTCATCATGGATGACCCAGTCGTTGACTTGGTCCGATCAAGTTTGCGAGGGCAAATGCATTCAGCGAAGATCAAAGAGAATGACGACCGCGATCTTTTTTTGGGGCAATGGACCCGGGAAGACTGCGAAACAATGAATCTAACCTTGATAAACGAACTAATTCAGAGACCAGGACATATCAGAAGCGAGCAAAACCAGCACAACCAGGTATCCTTGAACCGGTACCGGAATAATTGAAGATAAATAGAACATAATGGATCGTAAAAATATCAAGTTTATAGTTCAAGCGGGGTCTTATAATCATGTTAATTATACACACCAATACAAAAGACTGTTTAGAGCAGGGGGAGGAGATTGACACACAAGGAGGTCTACTCTAAGATCTGAGTGGATCAGACACAATGTAAACGTGCGTTTACATCCCGATTCCCCTTCTGCCGGTTTCATTTCTTCAAGATCGCTTCTTTATGTGTGTGTGGTGTTAGCCGTGGCTAATTCAGTGTCGAACGACCATCGTTAGATAGCCGATTGCTGAGAACCGCGCGTCTTGTTCGCACTGGTACTCAAGTGGGACATTTCAGTCATCATGAACACGGCAAAATTGAGTCGAAGCTCAATCAGGATAAGCTGATAATGGCAATCAAATTTATGTATCAATAGTAGAACAAATCATACCATATTGGTGTATTTTAGTGAACACGTGTTTGATTACGTGTGAAAATGATGAGGGACGAAAGTGGGAAGGTAAAAGGCGAAGAAATCCGAAGTAGTACGGTTGAAGGAGAAAGGAGCCACATGCCAGTAAAGACCTGAACGGATCAGGAGAAGAACTATGAACAGTATAATATAATCACAATCGACTGCCATAGTTGCCTTTGGGAAACCGAAACAACAAGACACTCTCGACGGATGGGGGGTGGGGGCTCGTTTTGAATGTTGAAAAAAAACACGTCTCTGTGGATGACTTGAACAGACATGCGATGCTTTTTGACAGTGTGTTCTCCTGTCATCCAGAATTCTGTATGCCAATTCCGTTAAAAACGTCTGTTCTTTCTGATTTCGCATTTTATTGAACAATAAAGAATTTATTACAGTAGTAGGTGACCGGTCGATTATATAACCATGCGATACCAACGTACCGTACGTGCCATTAAAAGGTTTGAATTGCATGATCACTTAGCGATCTGGCTTTTGATTAATAAATCTCTCCCAATTCAACCGTATCATCTAACATGCTCAGTGACCGAAAATTTCCTGCTCAGTTATAGTAGATTATCACGGACAAGATGGGCATCATGAAAGTCGATTTATGCATGAGCAACGGTGGTCAACGTCTACCAGCAGAGGCAAATGGGCAGTAGCCATAACATGTAGTGCAAACGTTGAACCGACGGCTGAATTCAACTCAGATGTTATGATGTTTACATGAAGACTGTAGCGGTGAAAATGGTGATCAGACTCGAAACATGCAAATTTCGACTGGGATTAAGAGCCTACGGAATAGCGCAAAACCAGATCGAACCGAGAAGAGCTGTGGATACAGTTAATTCTGTTCAGAAAAGTAAAGCAAATAAACATCAAGCAAATAAACAAGTGTCAGTCGTCACACACGTTAGTCCATTCTTCATTGCTCATTCGGTGTTGATTGGGTCTGTTTGTTAATTTTCTAGCAATCAGCCAGTCGGATTGCTTGTACATCAGGCCCACTATAGAATGGTTCGTTTCTCCGTTTCCCGGTTGGCTGTGTGTAATATTGTATCGTGGTATGTGCGGACTTCCATCCCGTCTCGATGCGCCTATGACCACGGATTCACGACTCTTCATGTTCGGATTATGGACTATGAACAATTTCAAACAAGAATGAAACAATAATAAATTGCTTCCAAGAGGGGATCCCCTCCTCCCTAAACAAAAAATGTTCATAACACTGTGGTATTCCCTTCAACTCTCTGTTGCTCGATCAATAATACAAATGTAATATGTTTTTCGATTACCAATTGAAGATTAACCGGTTGTCGTTCACGTGTTTTGAATGATTACTTGCATATCGTCTAAGTTTGACCAGGGTCGAAGACGGGTTTCCTGCCAGTCTGTGCAATTTTTCTCGAAGGTCGCAGGATGATTGAGTCTGTAGAGCTATGGGTTAATCGTGCATAGTCAGATCAGCTACTAGATGATGAAGTATTAGATGGAATATGCTTCATACATAGCCACGGAGAGGGTCCGTCGATGTGTCGTGTTCACGGATGAAAGTAGATCAATAAAGCTAAATGCACCGTGTTGGAATTAACCATATGTCATGAAGAGTTCCTAAGCACAACTAATCAGTGGCATGATTTGTATAATACAGCATGATATAGCACGTTCTGATGTATTTGTAACACTTTTACCAGATTGCCAATCAATTTTATAATGGAGCTTCCTTCAAGCGCTGGGAAAACGGTTGTAACAACTGAACACTGGAATTATGAAATGTAGGACAGTTTTACTCGTTTGCGCAAATTAAAAACAGACACGCTACCACACGGAAAGCGTATCCCACATTCCGAACTGGAAGATTTACAAGAAAGAGACAGACAGAGAGAGAAAGGCATATATTGAAACATCACAGTCAGACTCACTTTTGAGGCCATGGACAAACATATTTCTGTTTGCTGTTGGCGGAACCGCGTTGTACGGGCATATTCTTCTTACGTATTGCTTGAGTGTGCACCGTGTTGGTGGGGACCAGTAACAGATATGGTTGATCTTCCGGTTTGGGCAAACACATGGCTATGCCGTGATTCATCAGATAACGAATTTGTTGTGACAGTGGTTCCGGGATTAGCGGATTTGTTTCCGGCCAGATCACGCGGCGCACCAAAGGCCTGTTGGATAATCAGTGGTTTGTAAATAACTGTAAATGTGTCATACTCGGTCGGTAATTTCTTCCATCCATGAAATTAGCTATGCCATAACTGTTGTTCCAGTTATAATTATCGTGGGTAGTAACTCAATTTGATGCTCGTGAATAAAATGAAAGATCGATATGGTAAATTGAAAGATAGCACGGGGGTGAGGGGTGGGTGGGTGGTGAAGCGAACTCACCAGGAAATCATGGGGATATGAGAAATGTTTGGTCGATCCACAATCCGCGACACATCCTGAATCCACAACGATTTCCAGTAGGGTCGTAACGATGTGATACAAAGTTCGATTGTCTTTCGGATACTGTGAAAATTTCCAAAAAAAATGAAAAGGCATTATGAATACACTGTTTACTGATGAGTTTGTCCGTGAATAGATATTGCACCAAGAACCTACAGGTAGTGTCGTACTGTTGTGACGATGTGTTGTCGTTTTTGTTGTTATTGTTGGTGGTGGTGGTGGTTGAGTGGTGCTGATGATGTTGGAGGTAGTGGTTTTGGTGATAACATCGTCTGGTAAGGTTTGAATTTCGATTCATGCCACTGCTTCACTCTTGCTCAGTTCCACATCGTGCCCGTACTGTCTGAGTGGTGTGCCAGGTAGTTCGCTACCATCGACCTCAAGGGTTAGAATAACGGGTTCTATTATAAAACAAGTATTTCCTCATGGCTTTATCGTTCCGTCAGATCGATTATTTATCTTACTGTCTCTGACTTGGAGTTCAAATGATACCGTTACGACAGGAAATCGAGTGGTTTACACGTGTGTTCGATTAGTAAAAGTGTTGGGAGCTTTGGTGGGACTCCATTCCACGCAGCGAAGCAGTCTATGTCCTTGTAAGATCTACCGGATAGGCTATCGCGCCATATTGATTGCTTCCAGCTCTTCATATCCGAATTTATACTATACTTAGAAAACAATATGAATTTAACATTTAGTGGTGGGACATATATAACGTTACGTCACACTTAATGATTGTCTGTTCCAATAGTTTTCCGTTTACAAATTTTGTTATTGTTCAGTCAGGTCCAGCCCGCGGATTCCATCATCCATAGGTTTTCTAATTGATAAGGACGCTTAATTTCACACAGATCTCTCAGAAATTTGTGGAACTTTATCCCCGGACATTTCATTTCGTTTTTACTTCCTTTTGTTGAATATACAATGGATATAATTTTCATGAAAGGGGAATTGACCAATCAAAGGGCTGTCATACAACACAGGTCAGGCGAGGCTGATGGGTAATAATCTGGTGACGTTACCACATGTCCTTGCCGTAGATATAGCCGAAATCGCTCGCATAGAAAGCAATAGCTGTATAAGGCAAAAGTACTTACAGATTGTGCGCCGCAGCTACTATGACGGAATCGGCGAAGATAAAATGATCTTTATTTTTTCAAAATTCCGCCAATAACCAATTTGCACTGATCCGGTGGTGGTTCCCGGCACCAATTTGATATCATTATCTGTACCTTTCTCATTCTCGACTGAGAGACACGGATGCAGTAAATCGGTGCTAACAAAATGGAAAATCAATCCAATTCGTTCCGAATCGCGAGAGTGAGTGAAACAGTGTGATCTGTGTTTGTGCATGTGACCGTATTGAGAATCAGTCAACCACATAAACGGATGTAAGTTCAGGGTATTGTTAGATAACTGTAATAAATCAGTCCATATTACTCGCATGTTCTTGTCGTACACCGAATACGCAAGATCTAGGTTATGCGCGAATACTGTCGCCTCATGTCCGTTTGAATAGGCGCCAAAATCAATGTTCCCGCGAGTGTAAATAGCCGTTGTGGGTATCTGTGCAGGATACATGCGATAAGCATGGTCGGCACTTTTAGTTGTGCAAGGAGAGAAACCAGTTCGGATGTGGGAAAATTTACACTGTTTGTAGTTGTGCGTGTGTGTGTGAAAATCACAGCTTTACGATCTATAGTGTACTGGAAAATATTCGAACGTTCAAACTCGATATCTGTTTCTATCTTAATGACTTATGATCAAGTCGCTTTCAAAGGGGATCTGGTGCTATTCCCGAGAATGGTGGTTTGTTATTTTGTGAATACGCGAGAAGGCCAGGTAGAAAATTGTAGATTGTAGAGAAAACAGAATTTTATGCCCGTATATACTACTTTATTCCATTTAGTGGAGCATCATAGAACCGATTTTTAGAAAGAAAGGATAAGTCAACCGATGACTGTTGTGGGATAGGAGTGTGCCTGTGTCCAAATAGGAACCACTTATCTTGCCAATGTCTTAACTTTTCAGCACAAGTGAAACATGGCACAAAATACAGGTGTTGACCAAACTCGTGCAACATCACCCTCATTTTGAAAATCCATTTCAGCTTGCAATACCATAGTTATATATAGATGGCTATGAGTAAACTGTATTTATTCCCGACTTTATCTACAACATCTGTGTTCTTCGTTCATTGTTATCACCATTTTAATGTGCGCGACCTTGAGTGTCGCTATAAAATTTGCAGTAGTTCAAAAGTTACAGCTTTGATTTAGAAAATATTTTGGGCAAAGCAGCATGGGAGCTTATCCTTTTTAGCAGATGATTCCTGTTCCATAGGAGTCTCTATTAAGTTGAGCACATGTATTCTAACTTTCTATTCTCTTTTCATTCAGTGCATAGTAAATAAGCAAATTATTAAAAATATTCTTACCGAAATAAATTGCTCAATTGTTGGGCTACAAACTACTCACGCAATATCTCCAATACTGGAAGAACTAAAAACATATCCCAAGAAAGACACAAGTTGATCTTCGAAATTTGACCTTGAGATGTGCGGCTCGTTGAATAAGCGTCCTGTATTGTCATCATGCCCAAACCGAATGAAACGCTCGAAAGGTTTTGGCGAATAATTAAAGCCGAGAGGCAACTAAAGCGAGAGTCGCATAAATCTGTTTGCTCAGTTGATATCTTGTGGAAGCGCTTCGATGTGAACATAAGT